TAAAAGTAAGTTAGTAAAAGGAGCTATTCGTCTGGATTCAAAAAAGCAGCATTATGAAGCAATGAACTAGAAATCGTTGGTTTATTCATAGGCTAACATTAATCCATTCTATTTACATGGGTTTACACAAGCAGTAAATGTTGTATCATTCTCAATGTATAGAGTAGATAAATTAGTAAAGAGTAAAATACATAATCATTTGTTTGTTCATAAATTATTCCTAACAGTTGTAATTCCTTCGAACCATCTCAGTGTTATTCCGTTAAATAAGTAGTAAGTAGCAGTTATTTCACAGTCGTACTAGTAGCAGTAATCAGCACAATCCAACAAAATGATAGTCTATAGTTAAGCATAGGAAATTACAGGTGATTAGTAAGTTTTGTTGATAGGTTTTATTAAAACTACACCATTTATTATTATTTCGTCTTCTGATTTTTATTGTTATTATTTTCATCATTATCATTCATAATATCACCCACTACATTTAGTTAAAAAGTAGAATATTTTCCCGCTTGAAATCTACTATTATTTCAAAAGTTTTCTTTTAAATTTGACAAAGTGTTGTTATCAAACTTTATGAATTATTTTCTATTAACAGCTAGTTATCTACCGTCTGTCTATAACTGATAATTTGTCAGTCCTATCTAAAATATTTTATTTGCAAATAAGAGTTAATGTGTGATTAGATCAACCATTTTTCTTCATTTTTTCCGTTTTATTTTTTCCTACACAGTAATAAGGACGACAGTAACAACACAGTAATAAATTGACCGTATATAACGTTTAGTTTTAAAAGATGAAGGTAGTTTACATTAAGAATTAATATCAGCTAGAAAACCGTTGGAAACAAAAGGGTATGCTAACTTTGAACTTGTCAATAATTCATTCTAATCAGTCTATGCAAAACTCTTAAATCCAACACTGTACACGTTGCTTTTAATTTACTAAATTAAACTCAATCAAATTGTTGTCAATATTTTCATTTTCAGTTCATTCACAATATAATCACAATTATCAGGTGGAAACTTTTCCATTCATTCTCGATATGATCAGGCTACCTACTTCTCAGTAGAATACGTTGGGAAAACATACCTAAAATTCAACCATTATCTAAAACACAACTATTACTTAGGTATATATATAGTAATTTAAGTAGTTTTGTTAGGGTTTAAGCTTATTTTAACCACAGACTGACACTAACTGGCGAACAATCAAAATTTAGAAAACAGCTGTATCCCATTCATTCGAAACCACCATAGTGCACTTTCTCACCACCATCCTACATGAAGTGGAATCCATAACCGCTAGACTTTATTATGTATACAGTCCCTTTAAGCAGGCAATGTATGGTGGAAATTGCCCTCAAACAATGCTGACTCTTCTCCAAACCAATAGACTTATCATAAGTCTTATTCGCAGTGAAACTGTTGCCATATAAATGCATTTTTCGTCTTTCATTAGTAATCTGTTTTCCTTCTAAATTTATTTGATAACGTCTAACTTGTATCTGTATGTGTGCACTTGTCAGTGTATATATGTCTGTCTACTGATTTTGGTGGATTACTGTAATTTTATCAAGTTCTAGACATCATTTTCATGTGTAAACATAATTTATTATCATTATCTGTTTAATTATAGTAAGAATAGTTTTGCGCTAAATACAGTCTCATCTAATCGCTAAATTAATCTATATCGTTTATTTTTTCACCGCACAAAGTGTTTGATTAATTTGTGTATTGCTGTTATAGATCCTATATAAGGATCAAATTTTTATTAATCGGTCTAATGAAGTGTTCTTTGGTTTCATGATGATGCTCTATCTAGTGAATTGATTGAAGCTAGAAATATTTGAGGTATTGTGTGAGGACTCCAGTAGTCTATTATATCTTGTCCATCATACAAAAGTCCCCCAAACTAGGAAGAAACAGTTATCTTAACGTTTCTTTGCTTTTAATAGTTCTCCACCTTTGCTATGTTGATTTATAAAAACAATCCAAAGCCATTTTGGAAAATCATTAAATATGTCTTAAAATTGGAAATCCTTTGTGGTTCGTCTAGAAAACTATTATTAACAGTATTAGTTTAAGAAGTAAAATGGACTTTTATCAAGAGACAAAGTACTTTTGGCTCATTATTATTCGATGTGTTTATTTTAACAATTTAATAATGTCAGTTTTTCTTTGTATCAAATATTACTTTCTTTAAAAGTCAGTTTGTGTGGTACATACGTGTATGTGTGTGTTGGTGTCTACCTCCGTTCCATATAGGCCTACTTTATTTTTTTTAGTCAAATAAAATATCCTCAAATTTAGCATTTAATTTTTATAAAATGGTTATAATGCACTGTTTTTGTCGGTTGCTGCACCAGGTTATCCAGGTTTGTTTTTATTTTATCTATTTCATGCTATTATTACATTTTTATAAAAGCGAAAAAAAATACGCAGAAAATTCAAGCTAAATACTTTATAGATTTGTGTTAGGCCTGTCAAAATCTGACTAAGATGTTGGCGTTAAAATCGCATCTTAAAATAGTTTGTTTGTGTTTTTGAGCGCTAATTCATTTCGTTTACTTGTTTGTTTGCTTGTTCATCTTACATGGTGATTTCTTTTTGTTTATGCAAAGATGTATTATCCAACTACTTACTCAATTACCGCTATCTTGTCTAGATAGATGACATCCGTTAAAAAAAGTAGCTTGGTTTTTTTATTACTTTCTATGTCGTAACCAGAAATTTTTTTATTAAAAATAATTAAATATTAGTTGACAATTAACTAAAGATATATAAATGTGTAGTATGTACCCCCTCTATACGCACAAGGTTCTTTGCATACATATATATATTATGTGAAGAAAAATTGGACAGTATATATTGCTAGTTTAGATTAATGTTTTTTTCTTTCAAATTTACAAAACAGTAAATGAAACAAAATGAAAACGTATTTTTCTTGTCTTGCATTTTTCATTTTTGTTACAATCATTAAGTAGATTTGTCAAATATTTTAACATTAAGTGTATATATTTCACATCATGTTTTTTTTTCTTCGTTGCTATGACTGTACTTTTTCTCTCAATAAATCAAACTAGTTATTATCCAGGTGTTTATTAACAGTATTAGTTTGAAAAGTAAAATGGACTTTTATCAAGAGACAAGGTACTTTTGGCTAATTATATAAGTATTGTCACAACATGAGAGTCCTTGTAAATGCACAGACATGACTACACTAGGAGTCTTCGCTTTAAGAACTCTCATAGTAGGACGAAATAGTCACCTTGTGCTTTCTAGTTTTCGATGTTTGGCTAAGATTAGTCCATGTTTAATACTATGACATTCAATAACCTTCATAAAAAGCTATAATAATAATGGATCCGTGTTTCTTTACATGAAGTTACTTCATGAACTAAAGAATTATTGATGATTTGACTGCCATCCTAAGTGATAACTAGACGAATACGTGAACAGTTCATTCATTAAAGTACTTTTGAATGAATGATTCATACCAGTCCAAGTAAATACATGCACTTATGAAATTTACAGATGAACTTTCCATGTAATTAATCATAGAATAATCATATGGATGAGCCATTATGTGCCAGGTAATATTTCTATATTTTTCCGAACACACATCCACATACATTGTCGTTTAATACACTTTAAATAAATCACTTTATTTATAAATAAAAATTTATTATTCGCTCTATTTATTGTTTTTCGAAGTACATTAATTCATGATTTCTACACATATTATATCATATTTAGCGACTTATCAAGGCTTAATAAAAAGCAACTTAAGTCAAATCACTGAGTTGAAATTCACTGTTAAAAGTTTTTCACCTTAAGTTTTCATCATTGTAATTCACTCAATATTTTCATTAATTTTCTCTACAAGTTCAAATGTCATCGATTGATTTGAAATAATGGACTGGGAGTTGCCAGTACGAATACACACAAAATAAATGTTTAATTCTATTTTATGCTCATTAAATTTTGTTCGCGAAATCCACATTCAGAAGAAAAAAAACGGATTAAGTTACTCAGTAACCATGTGGGTTTATTCGACTAGCACTTTATTGTTACAAAAAAGTCATAGGGCTTCTGAGTATTGTAACTTATGTTTGGTCAACTTACACTCGTGTACTCACCTTTGAGTTATGTTTTCTGATTCTGAAACTAAGGTAGACCAAGTCAAATCAGTGTTTCGACCACTAAAATATCTCTCTGTTGATTAAACCGATTCTACGAGTGACTTTTCTTGTGTTCGTATATGCTTAAGAAATCGATTTTCCTCACTTTTACCTTATAATATTGAATAGATTTATTTTAATGAATACGTTACACAATAAATTAATTACGCTATATTCTGAAATCGTACGTAAACCTATATATTCTTCGTTCCTCATCTGTTATCTTGTCTTTTCGTCTCTTTTTCACCCTGTATGTGACAAAAAATAAAGAAAACTCTACAGATAGATTGTATTGCATCATAAAACTATGAGAATTTTGTTCAGTTCTTTCGTTTTTTAAATGAACACGCTGTCTCAGCCTAATCTACCAAATAGTCCGTATGTGCTTTTTTAAGTGTGAATGAATTACTTTATTGATTTTTATGTTGATCTGTTTGAAAAAAAAGTGTGGTGACGTTTTCTTTTCTAGCTTCTCTCTCCCACTCTTACTCTCCCTATGTATCTCTCCATTTTTCATGCCTTTCTGCTTATTGATGAAATTTTCTCACTTGATTTGTTAAAAAAAAACTAATTAAATAAAGATGGTCACTTAGGGTTTTATTTTTGAAACGTTTTATGGATTCTGTTTCAACTTTGAATTAAATGTTATGGTAATATCGGTACTCATCCTGCTTACCTTTCGTTTTATTCCATAAAGGTTATCACACTTTCCCCCCTCTCTCCCTCTCCATATATATATATATATATATATATATATATATATATATACCTTCAGTTAACTTATTGGTGTTTCACGTGTATTCATTTTTCCTAATAGGTGATTTATGGCTTCAGAAACCATTGGATTATGAACAAACATCAGCATACTTTTTAACTATCGAAGCACGTGATCGTGGTCAGCCTCCATTGAGTAGTACAGCTGTGTTAACTGTTCACGTGGACGATGCTAATGATAATCAGCCACAATTTTTGGGTAGACAACGTATTCCAGAAAATATTGGTTTGAATAACCTGGATGGTCTGACGTCCATTGATTCAAATTTTTATGAATATTACTATTCATTCAGTGTAGTGGAGAATAGTCGTAATGGTACTGTTGTTGGCAAGGTAAGTTCTGTGAGAAAATGTAACAAAAGTTTTTTCTTGCAATAATACCGAATAGTAGTTAATGTTCCACAACCGTAGACGAGGGATGAATAGAAATAATATATCAGGAGGAAAGTTCCACACTTTTTGATATTAAAAAATAGTAATAAAAGGTCCCGTATGATAAAAATGTTTGCCATCAAATATACTACTGACTAACTTACTGGTCAAATACATTTTCACGTACTTGGCTACGAGCCACACTGTTAATTTAAAGTTAATGGTACTACTCGGTTGTCCAAACCAAAGTAGGTGTAGCGGTGTTCGAATTCACTATTTAACGGCTAAAAGTAGGATATTTTTAATCATTGGGCCACAGGTTTATTGAATTACCTTGGATTAACATCACTTTTGATTAACACTGGGAAGCCTTAGTTGCATCAACACTAATTTTTAGACAGGTATTTCGTACATTTTAATTCGATCTTACTTTATTAGTAAATAATGATCATTTTCCAGTGTATTTAATATAGATTATGATGCTCAGCTCTTTACTTATTCATAAATCGTGCTTTCAATACAATCTAATATTATACTTCCTGTTTACGACTATTTATTATAGTTGAATGCAATCGATCCAGACAGCGGTGATAACGGTCGTGTAAGCTTTCATTTGAGCGGAAATATTGATTTCTCTACTTTATTTAAAACCTATCAACAGGATTCAGAAAACATAGAATTTTTAACAGTTTCTGAAGCTAAGACACGTTTTAGTTTAGACTCAGAATCTGGCCGGTTAATACTAATCTTTCAACCTGATCGTGAAGCAGTCAGTGGTTATTGGTTAATGGTACAAGTTGAAGATCATGGAAAACCAATTCCTTTGTCTAGCCTTACATTAGTTTATGTGGAAATATTGGATATCAATGATTGTGCACCGACATTTGAAAAGTCTAACTATGAATTTTATGTTGAAGTAAGTTTTTTTCAAACCGTAATTAATTTAAATGATCAGACTTTGCATGAAACAACAAATTCGTAATCTCCACCAAGTCGTCGTTCACAACATATATATCTTTATGCATGTTGTAGAAGTTTTGTCAAATCGATGTGTGTATACGCCCACTTCTATTCTCATTTGCTTTAGTGATACGAATATTTAAAAATAAAGCAAACATCTTTCATGTATTGTAATTTCTAATGTTATTTTTTTAATGCCGTATAAAACATTGTATACTTTTCACTTAAACATATTCAATATTGTTTGTTAGTTGTTGCGTGATTTAATTTACCTAAAATCTCCATATTTTCTGGAAGAATTTATGGAACTGTTTCGCATTTTTCTGAAAATAGAATATCATGTTGATATAGGAATTTAAGAATTATACTACTAATGTCTATTATGTTATTATAGTTAATGCGCTAATAAGGATATGTGTTACTCGTATGAAGTACTGTCTTCATAACTGACCAACACTAACTGAATTATCAGTAGGTCGGGAAGAAAATTAGTAGTGACCAAATCAAGGCATGAGATTAACTTTTCAACGTATTATTGTTCCTGTGAGCCTCGTGTGCGAGTCGACTAGCTTCCCGTTCAGGGATTTGGAAATGCTTAAATTTACTGTTTTTTTTCACTTAATGTGGAATCAGTCACACTTGTTTTATAATCTACATTCATTCCTCTCTACCGATTCATATCCTTTATGATTATTTTGATATATTTCTCTTTTGCTTACCATTAAAACTGGGTAACAACTTGAACTGTTATTGTATATCATTGTGACTGAGGTCCGTAGCGATTATCATTCCCCTTCATTTATGTAATCATTTACAAAATGAAATTCGTTATCAAAGTGTACAATGTATGGTCTTTTATTGCGCCAGAGTAATTTTTCAATACATTTAATCATTTGACGACGAACTGATGGTCAAAATATATAACATGCTATCTAGGTACTCTCAATTCTAAGTTGAACGTAGTTTGTCAAGTCACAATTTTGTTGAAATTTATTTTTAGAATAGTTATTTCTCATGACGAATAATAGTACATCTGAATGACCAACTCTCGCCTGTAAAAATCATAGGTAGTTTAATAAAATTGTCTTGCTAGTGGAGTCCTGTTATCATGAGGCCTAAATATAGTTTTGTGAACGTATCATACCCGTGTGTTTTTGTGTAATTTCAAATAATATAATTTATATAATTCATATCACGGGATGATGTTATTTATACAACAATTGAAAGCTACGAAGCAATGGACAGCTATTTTGACCTAATATGAGACTTCTTAGCGGGGCGAACTCTCATAGGGTCGTGAATATGCACTGACAACGAGTCCCATTTTAAAACGAAATAGCTGTCCATTGCTTCTTAGCTTTCAATGGTTGCCTAACTATCATCAGTCCGTGATGTAAACTATGTAACTCAACCTCCTCAGCAATTCTATACTGATAATTTACTTTTTATGTTTGATAGTTTTTTATAATTCTCGAAGATAGATATTTAAAAAAGAATGAAATTTTAACTGATCTTAACTGTTTCCCGTATTTTCCGTTGTAATAAATATTTAGGTTGATCGTTCCGGTAATATAAGTTCATGTTCTGAGAAACAAGTAAGTTATCCATTTATTGGTGTTATTGTTTTTCTAAGAAATTTTTCTTTAAATGGTAAACACATTTCGACTGAATGTATCTGTGTTCAATGATTATTTTTCACTTGCACTGCACATTTAATTACATTAAATTCGTTAACCAATTTTAAAAAGATAAAAGCTGAATTTTGATTTTGTGATCTCAGTCTATACAATGACGATGGAATCGAAATGTTTTTATTGTTATGTTTGCCAAATGACTTAGAACAAAAAGCATAACATTTTCTTCGTCTTTCTCAATAGACTGTAATGGCACAGAGAATAAATATATGTGCATATATGTTAACTACCTTGTATTTCTCCATTCTGTCATAACTATTTTGATAAAATGGAATTTCGACTGTAAGTTATTTCAAACTACTCTAAGTTTCATAAAAGTATTGTTCTGTACTTTTTACCACTCTCTGCTTTTAAGTGTTAGCACTCCGTATGATTGATTACTTACCAATGTTTATTCAGTATATGAATAAAGTGCTTATAAATTTCATCCTGTCTAAAGTTGTGTTGTTCTTTTATAAATCACTGTTATACTCTTCGTCATTACTGAACAATGAAAGAAACAGGTTATGGTCTATTTTATTTGAATAACTATTGTCAAATGATTAATAATCAAAATTATGTTAATGACCTTTTCATAATGGGCTCCAGTAAATTTTTTTTCATTCCATGCATGGTATTTATCACTGTGAACAACTGTTGTAATTTTCTCCCCATTTGAAATTAAGATAGAAAAAGGAAAGTTCTAATAAAACTCTACTCTTTATTCCCTTCTCCTCTCCCTCCTTTTTCTGTCTACTTTCCTCTCATGTTCTATTCGGGTTAGTGAAATAAGTGAGGAAAAGTTTCTTTCTTCATTTATATTTTAATATGACTAAATGATGTTCACCATGACAGAAAAACAGCAACCGTGATTCATTCATTCCTAATTGTCCAATTGTTTATCTCATTCACCATTAGAAAGTATTCGGATGATCCCGTTTTAAGCATTTGAAGCAAAAGTTACTGAATTTGAGTTCCCAATAGGGTTAAACATTCGTCCTAGATTTTATTGCTAGCCAAAATCTGTATATTCTATCAAGAAATCCTATTCGACTGTTATTCTTTGGATACAGTGGATAATAATAATTATTCCTGAAAGAAAAATTCAAAACATGAAGACTGTTTCATTCAAAATCCCAAATAGTTCTTTGCATTGGTCAAACCAATCTTTAGTATTTTTCCATAATCTTCGTACTTCCTATTTTGATCTTCAGCCCTATTTACTTTGTTGATATTTTTTGAAAACACATTGAGCTGATATTCCATATCTGGATCTGAAGTGAGTAAACTCAGTCAGTGATTGTATCTCATTTAAAAACATGGGATGTTTGAACAAAAATTATTATCTAATAGTGTTATAGTTATGCACTATTCTCATAAATCCATAAACATATTTCCATAGTTTATATCACGAATTAATCTTAGCGAGACTATCGTTGAAAAAGTAAAAGAACTGGACGGCCGTTTCGTCCTAGTATGGGACTCCTCAGCAGTGGGGCATTTTCTTCTTCATGGCTGGAGTATAACAGAAGCTCCCCTGAAGCTAGTCGTTGTTGTCCAACTTGCATCCAATGTGTTTCACTGATCCCAAGCACCTCTACCTTGTATCTCCTCATTTCTGCAGCAATCTAGAAGACTCTCCCAGTCTCCCACATTTTACGAGCATTCCATGTACCTAAATAAATGGTTGCTCTGGTTGTCAGAAGAGGCATTGGCGTTGTGACTTCCGAAGGAACTCGGCTTTCACCATGAGGCGTCATAACTCTTCTAAATGAAGACATTCTGACTCCCAGGACAGAGTTTAAAAGGTTTGAATAATTTTTTCTGGTTAGCGTTTTGTTAGCGAGTTAGTTTTCTATGGGATTAGGTCGCTAACCCCATGCCCAACCCTCCTTCTTTATCCGGGCTGGGGACCGGTAGTAGCCCATGGAGGGGCTCTAGGCGGAGTTAGCCAACACATTAAATACGTATTACATATCAAAAATGGTGGATTTAAATCCTCTACACCTTAAATACTTTCAGTAAACATTGTTATTAAAGTTTTAAGGTCATATATTAGGGATTAGGAAAGTTTTTTGGAAGTGGTGATGGTGAATTATAATTAGTAGGACCTGAAACATGGAAATACGATACGGAATATAAGGAATATTGTGCCTACATTATCGTTATTATATCACTTAAAAAAACTGAATATACACTTTTTATAATGAGAGAGGGTTGAGCAAACATAAAAGCATTTGGGTCTAAGATTTTTTATCAACGTGATTAGGAATGGGAATGGCCCCTGATGTGTAGGTCGTGCCGAAGACTAACTATTTATACCTTCTTGCAGACATACATAGATGTAAGCCTCTCTTTTTGGTACATTGTCTTACTTACTCCTGTTACCTCTCGTGGAGGAACATAGGCCGCCTATCAGCATTCTTCATCGAACTCCGTCTTTGGATATTCGATACATCATCTAGCTTATTATATAAAACCGAGAAAGCCTCCTCTCTCGTGATTCATTGTCCATTAATTGTCGAATTAGGATGGGTGATGTTATTTAAAGACTTGATAACTCTCCTTCTTAATCATCCTAGTACTTACTCTATTTGATTTATGTAACTAAAGCAGTGTTCAAGAGCTAACTTTGTTTGGATACACAGTGCTAAACGAAAGTGAAGGTGAATGAATGAATTAAGCGATGTACAACCAATTATATATATACCCTTATAACAGTCTTTTGATGCATTTTCATACATGTATTCAAAAAATTTCAACCATTTTATCACTATTCAATCAATCGAATATCTCGTAATCTTATTAAACACCACACTCGCCCACACATAAATAATCATTACGTATGTATCCATAAAAGTAGTGTGTTTGTTAATTAGGAAAAAGTATCAATATATCTTTCTTCACATTATTTACAGTAAAGAAAGTGCATCTTATCTGAATCAATAGTTTTTCATTTTACGTATTTAACTCCATTATTTTTTGTTGTTGATAATCTTAACCAAATCTTCATCTCTTGGACAGCTTTTAACCCTCTTATCGATATTTCCATTCAGTTGTATGGTTAAAAATTTGGTCAACCTCTTCGTGATTCGTTCAATTAAGCTTTTTAACACGATATAGTTGAGTAGGGTTTTTCAATGTTGGAAATTTTGTAAAATTTAAACGAAAGTTGATATTGTAAGTAGATATCAGATGAAGAATGATTTAAAGAAAGCTAGAGTTTATTAAACAGTTGTTTCTTTTTCATCCTAAAACTTCTCATCATTCCTAACATGAAGTCGAACCCGGGATCTTTAGATGTCATGCTGAACATAATACATTTTAAATTAAATAAACTAAATAAATTTTAAATTAAATCGGGTGCATATTCTTGACTTTTAGTAATTTGTTGTATAGCTCAATATCTTCAGTGAGTTACTGTCTCATCTGCAATTTCTTTAACTTTGCAGACAGTGAATTTCCATCAGAAAATCTGGAATGTACATCTCATAGCTCGTCCTTTATAAAAACGTGAATATTATCACTTAACAATATACTTTGATTGCTGTACTAAAAGATCTTTTAGTTCTATGATGTCGATATTTTATTTGCTAAAAGTGTTGCTGTTTCGATTTTCTTATGAATATTAATTTTAAAATCTATTTATCAATCATTATGTGTACTTGCATTTCTGTTTGTTCCAACTACCGTTTGATTGTAATGTTGATAGTTGTCTATCTGTTTCATTAATATTCACTGACACAGATATCTCACCTTCATTAATCAACATGGATATCATTATGTTATCGATTGTCTGAAAGTTGTCCTTAGTGCCTGAAGAACATATTTTAGTTCTAAGATTGTATTTCTGTGAATAGGTATAAATAACATCTTACATTTTTATAATCACATCCGTCAACCGAATGGGAATATTTTCTTTCATACTGGAATTTTTAATTGGAACTCCAGCTTAGCATGCACTAATGACTTTGATCGTCTACTGTATGATATTCACTAAAATGACTGTTCACGATAATGTTATTATTAAGCAGCACATGACTTGATTGATTTGACCATTAACTTAATTAAGTACATACATATATCATTCCTTAGGATAACTGAATTGTGTAACATATGTTGTTATATGATTGGCATATTTTCCTCTTTCTTTAGTTACCATTTGAGGTTGTTGTTATTTTTTTCAACAAACGAAAAACAACCGATGTGCTATATGTATATATGTGGCTATTCTCTTGTTATCCTGTAATTTTTTCTTTAATTAAACATCTTTTGAATGTTCTCAAGTGATTTTAATTAACGACTTTTGTGAAGAATATGTATTTATCTGTCTCTCGGTGTTTTTATGCAATTTTGTTTAAAAATAATTTATTTCAATTGTGAGAAAATATAAAGTAGTTAATTGTAGAAGACATGTATTTGTGAAATCAAATTTTAGAATACACGAATCAGCATTGTGAAGCAGTTATTAGAATTGCTGTTTTTACGTATTACGAAACCTGACTCTCGCTTTCCATATATATAAGGATGATGTTTTAATTACATAATTTGTGAAAGTAGAGAGGTATCTAACCCATAAACCTTTACATGCTTTCGTAGTTTTCCGCAAAATTTTGAGCTTTGTTTATTTCTATTTTGTTTACTATAGAATTCATATGAAAATAATTGTCAGTCTACTACCGGTAGCAGTGGGAATGTTCTCATTGGTCGGCTCAAGTTGACAGATTCTGATGCCCATCCAAATTCTGGTCCATTTACATGTCACTTAGCTAATTCTGGTATTATCCAAACTGTTCTACATGATTCATTATCATCATCAAGATCAAGTGCTACATCACTCATTACTTCTACTACTGGTAGTAGTAGTAGTAGTACCAGTCTATTTTCTGTTCGATCTACAGAAATGAGAATTCATACATCTAATTCAAATAAAAATGATCATCTCAATAATCAGACAGATTTTAGTAGAGGAGAATGTTTACTCTATGCTATTGACAAATTACCTGTAAGTTAATAATAACTATAATTGGAACTGTTGATAATTCTTCCTTAAACTTTATTAAGTCATAATAATTTTATTTTCCTAACGCTTATCATACATTCATAAAAACAACAGTTTATGACTACACACATTTCTTTTTACCTCTTATAGTTTCAAATAATTTCTTAGTAATCTTTGAATCTAACTATTCCTATATATTTGAATTGACATTGGTTAGAAAACAATCGAAAATCAGGGAACTTTGAATATTCGTTTCATCCTTGTTGCAAAGCTCACAAACCTGCTTAACTTAATGTTTGCATTTGGCTTTAAATTCATGAATTACCTTTTATAATTAAAATGATCATTCTCTGAAAAGATTTACTTGAAATACTTCCATAGTTCACATACTTCAAGAAAATTCGATGTTATGTGACACGGATCCTCAATAATGAATAAATGTTGATAGGTTTGTGCAAGAACAAAGACTTTGTTGGTTTACTCACTTGCAATTGTTTTATTCACAAATATCCCTTAATCTATGGTAATTTAATTTGCGAAATAATTATCTGCAAACTACATTGGTAACTCTTCTTTCTTAACACTATGATGATACCATTCAACACACCTAATGTGAATACTCAGCAATTATTGATATTCTCAACGCTCTCTGTGTGTTTTTTCTATGTGCTTTTATATACCTGTTATATGTATGTGGACTATTTGCTTAATAACATGGATTATGTACGATTCTTTCTATAATTTGTAATTTACATAAGAATACTTTCTGTTACATCATAGGTTGGTAGTCAAAGTTTAGTGATCCGAGCCAATGATAATGGTTTAACTGCATTACATACAACAACTACGGTCACTGTTCGTATCATCCGGATGTCTAATCTACCACCAGAGATTGTCAATACAAATTCTACATTGATTTATTATCGCAGTTTACACGATTGGAATGAGAATTATTTTCATGAGTCATCTTCGAAACAAGATATCTCTGAGCAAATTTCTGATAAAACTATATGTCGTATAACAGTAAAAGACCGTACAGCACATGATCGGTTATTTTTTGAATTATTAAAAGATAACACATCCATGTCAAATTTATTCTCTGTCGACCAATATGATGGAACTATACGTCCTGCTATGAAAATATCTTCTAATCCCGATACAAGTCGCTCTAATCTATATGATACCTCAACTTCTTCACGTAAACCTATGTTGAACCAATTTCATAATTCACTAATTCATCTTGACTCTGGCAATTATCCATTGCGTGTACGTGTTACAAATGGTACGCTTACTTCTGAAGCAACAATGCATATTAAAGTAAGTTGTCATATGTATTCAACAAAATGATTTTGTTTCTCTATACGTGTACACATTTTGTAGTTTGATGATGATCATGTACATAAAAAATAATCCTTATTATTGCTTTTATTTTTTCGTTTATAAACATTCCATGACAATTACTACTGCAGTGCGATTGATTCACTAACCAACTGGTAGATTAAAGTTTCTTTTATTAGATTATCTTTACAAAGTGTAAAAAGGGAGCATTATGTTAGTTTTGTAATCATCCGAGAAAACTGTTAAGTTCTGTTTTTGGTTTTCAATATTCCTTCAATCCACATCGTTAATCAGTTTCTAAGAATCTGACAATTTGGGTACTATTCCAGTATATAACGGATAATCGTCTGCACAAATACTCGCAACAGAAATATTTATGATTTAATAAAATCTATTTACATCAGACTATTAAAATTAATCATTCAGATGAACTACTTGACTTTCATCGATATCTAAGTACATTAGTTTTTTTTGTTCAAAATTATTTATTTTCAGCTTACTGTCTTTTGTTCTAAATACGTTACACAATCTTGTATAAATTTCTCTCTGAATTCTGTTTCTCATTAAGTAATTTGGCTGATATTTGATGTTGAATATCTTTCTATTTAGGTTATCCAACGTTTCTTTTTCTATGAAATAAAAAGATAAATATTTCATTTTGATTAAAATCTAATCTAAGAAGTTTGATTGACATATTGTTCTTGCACATCAATAGATTTATCATGCTTCAACAAGTCAATCACTTCAAGATCATCATCGTCTTATTTATGCCCTTTTCTACGTAGATAAATCCACTTAATTAATCCCTATAAATTTATTTATAACTCTATTAATATACTTAGTTCATTGGTTGGTTGATTAGTTTCTTCATGATTAATTTCCTTTCTTTCTCCTCTGTTTTCTTTGCTTTTCTTTTTTCTACCTCATGGATTTCTTTTTGTGTTTTTTCTAGTCCATAAAGGCTATGTCAATAGCTGGTTCTATTTTCGATCTGAACTTGGTTGTAAATGTATATAAGTATTATATACTAAGTATACATATATATATATATATATATATATATATATATATATAATTTTTCAATTTTACAAGTAATTTAAAGGTTTGCGTGTTCAATATTCTAATTTAACATTTTTACTTTTTCCATAATTTTTTTTACTAATGTATGTGCTTTTTAATGTTTCACAAAAAAAAAATTAATTAATTGAAAAGTTCAAGGATTCTATCAATAATAAGTTTAAAAAATATATCTCAACATCATAATAGTCAATGTGTTCAATTATCATGAAGATTTTTACTTCTATTATTTTCTGAAGTGATGACTTTCAACCAGTAAGTCATAGGTTCAAACCCTGCTTTGGTTTTGTTAGTTGGATAGTAGTATTATTGGCCTTCATCGTAATAATGTGATTCAAAGTAAATATATGTAGGTGAGCTATGATGAATTATCCATTGGTACTGTTAGATGATGGTTCAGTGGTTTAACTACTTACAAGTTCTTTAACTCAATTTCGTTCAGTTTAGACAGCTTAGTTGTATCACCGGTTCTCCGAACACACAGACACACAAAATTTCTAATTTTATGCTGAGTATATAAACATGTACTTTGTAAGTGAGTTACATTATTTATCAGTCTTAATATCGATTCACCAGCTTTTATTATTATTACTTACCGATATAACTAAGTCATTGACAGGCATCTGTGCATCCTTACTACGTGAACGATCTAATCTGTACATGTTACTAACTGGAATATAAATAATTTAGTGATCATACAAAATTCTATTGTAAATCATTAATCTGTTCGTCTTCCATAGACGCAAGAACGAAAGGCGTTGTTATAATACGGATTATTTTTTTAAAACAACAAATCGGATTTTAGAAAACGCTTGTCATAGAAGTTGACCTATCATTTATTTTATCAGTTCGTTCAAATTATTCGTTTTAATAAATCATAATTACAGCGCAATAGACAAGTATTTTTTTTGTATTTATTAGATTCAGATATTCTAAGACTCTAGTTCATCTGATTAGTTGTTGTTTCATTTCTAAAAAAGGGAAAAAAATAAACAACTAGTTACTTATTTTGTTATTTATCGCGTTCAGAGTTTTTTTTTAGAATTTTATTTTCATATCACGTAAAATGTAATAATTCTTATCTGATTTACTAATTTCTAATTAGTCATTCATTTTTATACTGGAAATTAAAATTATTTATTTTATTCATCCTTTACTACTATTGTCTATTATTATTTATTTATCTGTGTATTTATGAAGTACTGCTGTGCAGTTTATAGATATATGGTCTATTTTGACTGACTAGTCAGTTGAACTGATAAAGAGTATAAAAACTGGTTTATAGGTGTACAGTTAATCATAAATGTCAACATGGTTGGGTGCACTAAACTTTTACAAATCATCCATATAATTGTTATAACTGTTATTATGAAATTAGGTTAAATAGCGATATCGTCTTTTTCATTTACCTACATTGCTTTATTCTATATTGGAGTGCTGATATTTGCTGAACAGTGCCAATAACGACAATAATGATTTAATTTAAACTTTCATTTTCCATGTAAAATGTACATGTTCAGTATTAACTAGGATTTGTTTCATATTATTTGTTGCATACAATTACAGTGCTGGTGTTGTAAGAAAGAATATTATTCGACCATTCGAAATTGTCTGTATCATTCTGTTTTTAAACCAGCATTACCGAGGCTAATCAAGCCAGAAGTTTGGCTCCCAAATATAATTAATGTGAAAATTCACAGTCAAATTTAACAGCAGAATGTGAACCTAATTAAAAAAATTCAATGTTAACCATATATAATTTATAATCAATGGAAAACTAACAAACAGCTATATGACACTGGATACCTATTCATAGTCCTAGGTTGCGTTGATACACTTAATTTTCTTCAGTAAATTGTACAAGATTTCTAAAGAAATACTCTAATAAAATTAATAAATACAAAATGTCTTACTGTAAATTGCAGTGCTCATCATATATAGTCATAAAACGAACAATTAAAAAGTATGTATATCAAAATGATCCTAACTAAGATCAGTCAGTGATTTAATCTATAAAAATTTAGGTTTCCACAAAACCTCCATATTAATAATTTTTTATTAAATACTGAATGATACCAAAAACTTGACTATCGCTACTTTCAAATACCATAATTCATCTATTAACTTTAATTGTAATGCATATATAATATGAATATATAAGACAGGGTTTATTCATAACATGATTGCTTATGATTTTCGGCCGCAACAATCTTACCAGAACAAACCTTTCACTCATTTTCGATCTATGATTAGTCGATCTACTGAGTGTATCAGGCTATTTCTTTTTGTTTATTCATAAAAGACCTCTCTCTCTTTAAATGTTGATAAGACTAAATCAAATGAGACTTGGAAGATAAGTATTTACATTCTTTTTTAAAGCTTTTAGTCGAATGTTTGGCTATAGTATACTATAGTATAGGGACACGTCAGTTCTTAACCAATCAGATAATAGCTTTTGTAATAGATAACTTTTTGGAAAAGAATACAATGATACTATTAAGTGTATACAGATTTTACACATTTAGTGAATCTATTAAAGTCTTTTGCAAATTAATCTGCCAGTGAATTAAGAAACAATGACATCGAAATTGTCCTTGCTTCTCGAACCTTTAAAAATGGTCTTGATGAGTTTTTAAGAATTCCCATACTGCTATTAATTGGTGTAAGTATTTGCAGTTTAAAGTTACAAACTGACATAAGCTGAAATGCGAAAATTCTCTTTAGTCAAATAAATCGATGGATTTCGCGTGAAAACGCAAGAGGTGCTATCTGACAAGTTCGTCTACAAAATATAGTTCCACTAGATTAAGGCTTGTTTCAGTATTAACTGTTTAGGTTTTGATTTAAAAGTTGTGCCGATTCGCTTGTTACATACAATGTTCATGGTCACAAATGAGCATTTAATACATTTAGCACTATTATTTTCACTCTGTGATGGTAATCCCAACTACTTTAAACGCTATGAGCAGGATAGGTATGACATTTTAATTTCATGAAAAAGTCTGAAAGTTGTACTCTCGATTCTGATTAACTTCGTTTCCATACTATATATAATCAAATGGTTTTTTGTTTTAACAAAAAATTTGTAATTTTTTTATTGCTTTTTCTTTAAACTCATCATTTCAGGTGATAGCGATAACTGAAGAAATGCTTGACTCATCGTTGGTAATTCGAATTTCAAATCTACTACCAAATTTATTTTATATGGAAAATTATAATACTGTTTTACAAAATCATTTATCTAATCTACTTTTAGAGTCAAGTTCATCGTATTTTTCACCATCCAGTTCAACAATCTTATCACCAAAGAATAATTCATCACAAGATGAGAATGTTTATATTCTTTCTGTACAAGAAACAGATTTTCCGAATCGTCTTAATTCTTTGTCATCTTCATCTAATGTTTATCACCAGAAAAATGCATTTATGGATTCACACCGTAACAAACGTAGTATTGATAGAGCTGTTGATATACTGATCGCAGTATATGATCCTAAAGAAAGAGAATTTATTAAGCCATTTAAAATCGCTCAAGCTATCAATGGAATAGCTGATAGTTTATCTGTGGAATTCGGAGGAGAAATTGAAGCTGTCCATGATGTTTGTACACCACAGGTTAACTAGTTTATTTTAAAATTTATAATATTCCATTTTCTTACCTGTGTGTTTGGGTAATTGATTTATATTGTCTCATGGTTAGTAGATTTCAGTCTTCATTAAAATGCGAAGCATAACATTCGACCTGTGTGCGCATAATCTGATCTTGTATGAGGTCATCGACAGCTCGAAGAAGGCTAACTTCAACCTCATTTTGTTGTTATAGTTTACATAATCTTAGTTAAATAATTATGAAAAAAATAGGATGGACTGAAGATTTGTTTTGACCTAGTATTAAACTCCACAGTCTCACCAGCGGTTGAATTCATGAGATTCAGTTCTCATAGTGAACAAAACTCTTAAACAACTGAACCAACATCTTAAAGTTTACATGTTTAGCTTCAATTAATTTACGATATTGCGCAACCGTCTTTCAATGTAATTAGCGGGTAAATGTTTTTGTTTTGCTACTATCTGCTAACCGTTCTGCATGAAAGTCAATTTTTAATAGGTTGAACTTGTAACTTAATGATAGTATCTACCTAATCTTCCTAGCCTTTATTCATTCCAAAAGATACTGATTAATTCCAGTCCTCAATATCAACAGTAAGAAGATTCAAATGATCAAAAATGTAACTAGGGATAAACTTTGTCTATTTCATTGGATTTTTCTAATTATTCGTTTATATGCAGACATAAATAGAGAAAATTGTAACAATATAAACTGTATGTTTGATAAAATCTTTCTATCAGTTCATCCATCTATCCTTAGCTAAGTGTTTACACTTTTTAATGACCGATTTCTTAAAGTATTTTATAGTATTTAAGTATTTGTAATTATTCCATGAATACAATTGTATCGTCTGAATGTTTTTTTTCTGTCATACTTTTTCAATCAGTGATCATGTAGCTTTTTAATATTAAACTAAATAAATTTTTAATACATTTTCTTAAGTACAACAAAAGTTTTGACTTGTGGAAATGCATTATTTTCAAATATTCAGAATCCATTATTCTGTCTATCTGATTGCATGTCTTGTTTTTCTTTTTTTTTTACGATACAATGTGGAATCATATCATTGTGATTTTCTGTTCTCTTTAACATGTACTAATAGGGCTTAAAGAAAAGCTCATTTCTTTTGATTCGTATGTGTAATGCATAAGTCTAATAAATAATGTCAATTTTTTTTAGAAAAACATACAAAGCTCGGTATATTATACTTGATTTTGTGATATCCGAGAGAGAGAGAGAGAGAGAGAATATGTTCACGTGTATATATATAAAAGTAACTAGAGTTATATTTAACTAAATAGATTATCATTCTAACAGTGTATAGCGATGTCATAATGTATATTCATTTGGTAAGTTTCCATCGGTATTGTTCAATGAAGTGTAGAAATGTCAAATTTTAACTTAAGTAATTGTATTCTAAACAGTTACCGCTAATAGTTTATAGTTCATGTTTTTCTGCAATATCTTTAAACCGACATAAAGAATGCTATTTCATCTTAATAGGCATTTGACTGGATTTTTGCTACGACATTTATAAATCCTTTATTTGTTTCCGATAAAATATTTCATGATCAACAATCCATTATCATTGTACGTACCGGTCTATTTCACTTTAAAGGTGTGGAGCTTCTGTGGAAACACTAGTATTTATTTAAATTGAATCCTGTCCAGTTTCTGTCGTTATTGAACTGAATAATTACCAAATGTCAGTCAAAAATGCTAAAATAATCTTATCTTGAATTGAATAGTCAGTAAATTAACCTGTAGTACTGTGTATATAGAGAGTTTGTGAACAATTTTTAAGTAAGTGTAATAAAATCAACCATAGATTAAAGATCCATTCATCAATGCGTTATATCTCACTTTATAGGATTCAGTTAGTTTAAAACTTGTTAAATATACTTCTTTTTCAACCATATATACCTTCTATTTTTAGTTTTGCCCTCGCGGTCGTTGTCATACAAAAGTTAGTATTGATCCGAATGGTCTCATGAATCGTATTGAAGTGCATCGTGTAAATCAAGTATCACCTCGATTTGTGTTATCGCCTGTTTGCCAATGTCCGATACATTTTACTGGTTTACTTTGCAATACACCGACTGATGCTTGTGCACTGGCCAATTGTCCTGCCTCTCGATTATGTATTCCACATGGTTTAAATGACTATTCGTGTATTTGTCCACCGCCTCGCACCGGTCCCAATTGTGAATCACTCTTAATTTACGGTGATGGCAGGGATGATTGCCATTCAGAATCGTGTTTTAATCAAAGAGGTAAAATAAATAAATGTTATGGTTCAAGATTTTATTTTCTATTTCATCTTATTTACACGTTATCAACTGGTCGATAATTTAGTGTTGATCAATCTTATGTTAATCCAGTCTTTTTTGTGCTCGTCGAATTCTATCGATCAAATTGCAATATGGCCACTGGTCTAATTGATTGTGTTTTATGTTAATACGTTAAGTGAGATAGTCGAAATGAGATCATGGACCTAGGTTTCATGTTAGTTAGCACTGGCCAGTGAAGCATACCTCTAATCTTGTGGAAATTGATGTCTATGCGATTCGAACTTGGGTAGTTGCTGGCACTATATCAGGCTCATATGGGTTATTCTAGCTTCCGGTCAGACCTATTTATTCATTCTTTTCAAGTCACCTTTTGACTTGGTTGATTATTCGCTTATTAATCCTGACTATTTTTATATGAGCGTATACGTGTGCATTTCTAATACCACTCATCACATCTGTAGCTTATTTTCGTTTGAATACAAATATTAAGTCACGCTTTATCAAGACAAGTTGTCTCCTTGCCTTCTTCGCTTCTCTTCCCACTCCCCTCTTCGTTTCTCTGATTATTCGAATCAACAAGTGTACGAAATATACGTATTCAAAATCCATTCTCACATTTGACTTCTTGAATTCTATCATTCGCCAACGCGATTCAAGTCGGTAATTATGTACGAGGAGAGCCGGCATGTATATTTCGACAAAATCATCACACGATCAAATTCAAGTCAGATTAGGGCCTACACCTGCTTCACCTAGTTTGATTGCCTGAGATTTTAACACTGAGTTATTCATGCTGCGAATGACTTCCTGTAGGACTAAGATATTTACAACTGATTGGTCGCTAAATAGCGATCAACGTCATGTTTGTCTAGTCTTTTAATACTGATAAAATAATAGTCAGTCCAATTCTGACATTATGGGTTAAAGGTTTATCAATGTTTGCTAGTATACGTGCATCGATACAGCCATTTTTTACTATTAATTTACTCTAAATGTATAATTGATAGTAGTTTGAAATCCGTTCCAAATTTATCAAGATCGACATAGCCGTCGTTTACTGAAATTCCCAATTTTAATTCAAAATTTTTGTAACGAATAGTAAATGTTTTGTTAGCAATAATTAGGAAACGTTTTTGATAACATTTCACTAATCGGTTTTAGTTGTGTGATAGGTTGATTAAAAAAATGAAATAGTTGAAACACTTCTTTGAACGTTCGAGCTTAAAGATTATGACTAAATTTTGTGAATTGTGTGAATATTTGATAATAAGTGGACTTTACTGTGTCTACTGATTTCACATTCTTACTTCATTTTCAAAAATACCAATTGGTAAAGATTTATGAAATAAAATGTAACTCATCATAATTGATGATGAATCACAGTCTAATTGAGAAGGTTATCGATGCTACCCAGTTGTTCAAAATCGAAGTCAGTGAAGTGGGTCTCGAACCTCGGATTTTGTGGGTGAAAGTAGAACGCCTTAACCACTGACCCATTGCTCTAGCAATTAGAGGAATGATCCTTATGATTATTCTTTGGATTTCAACCATCTTTTTTTGTTGAGAATAATTGGGTTTTATGATATTGTTTTGATTTGTTTAGAAAATGGACCATTACAGTTTACTGGTGGGACATTTATTCATTGGGAATTTGTAAATCCTAATCCATTTTTTATGGAGTTGAAATTTTCTTTTCGAACTCGACAAACAAATGGACCTTTAGTATTTATACGTTGGTCATCATTAAGAACTTTTCAAATAAGATTAACCAATGGTGGACATTTGGTGATTTCTGCTACTGGCTTATCTAATGGTTTACCAATAACTGATTGGTTAGTATCTAATGTATCAATCGCCGATGGTCATTGGCATCGTGTACGATTTGTTTTGACAGTGTTGAATTCCAATAAAGCAACACATGTTGATGCCTTATTTCATGATGCATTAATAGAAGGTAATTTTACAAGCTTGTTTATGTTTATTATCACCATCTCAAAATAAATAATAATCACTGTTGTGAACCTTACAGATTTTATTTTACACAGTACTTACATTTTGATAGTTAGTACTAAGTAAAGCGAGTAAATAGGACTGAATAATCATAAAAACTCAGAAAACACTAGACAGCATTTTCGTTCTAGTTCTAAACTTTTCAACGGGTAACATCAGCAATTTTTCATAGGATGGATCTCTCAACCTTCAAGCTTTGTAATATGTAAGATAAATTTAGAAGGATTGGTCAAAATTCAATAATCCACAATTGTCAACTTCAGTGAACTTGTAATATTGCACAATCCTCACTTAATAACATCCGTGAGTTGCCCACTGCTGATTTGATATAAGCTTTGATTACTAGTGACTATGCCAAATTTTGAACTATGAACAACCTAGAACTATACATCTCCCAAATTACATTGTTTCATGCTGTACAGCCTCAGATCTAGTTTTAACATCTGTTAAACGAATCATTTGTTGCTGATCTCGTTTTGTTCTTTTTTTTCACTGTAAGATTCAAAAATGAAATCAAATTCTTGGAATTCCAACTCTGATTGGTGGGTTGAACTAACTGTCAATGGAATCAATCCTCAATCTGCTTCAATTAACTGGAGTCCAGGTGATTCATATCAACAAGGAATTCTAGTGGGAGCAGATCTAGTACATGGATTTCGTCCTTTGAGTGAACCGTACAAATTAACAACTATCAGCACAGCTCCCAAAAGTAATTCATTTCCCAATTCAACAAATTCATCGCCGATTATCTTCCGATCTGGAATTGTTGGTAAGGAAATAATAAATAAATCAATTTCTAAACTTCATCTATTTAAAACTTGATCACTACTTTCATACATGACGTTTCAACTTTTAGATTGGAGAAGGCAGTGGTTAAATTACTAAACACATGATCTTTGATGTTTACGTCATAGCGTGTTTTGCTAAAGATAGTGAGTCATTGTACTGTACCGCGATAAACAGTATCGCTTTTTCTTACATATGAACTGTTTCAACATAAAGATAGCTGCTTTGCTGGTAATCAGAAAGAATTAATTTGATAAGATGAATATAACAGAAACCATGGAAGTGCTTTTCTGTTAATGGTAATCGACAAAACGTAACCTATGAATATAATTTTCATTCGTATTATTCCGTATCATCTTTATCTGAGTTTCAGATAGGAATTGTTAATTCTGGCAATCGGATAAATCGTTGTGTCAGTTTTTTTATTCCTTAGTTACTTTCCTTTCCTCATGTCAAAGAAAATCTTCAGTATTCAATACTTGTTGAAAATTCTCGACAAGTTTAATCACAAATACTCATTGGTTAACATTCTTTCTCATTATAGGCTGTTTTCGTGATTTCACTATTAATCATATCAAACCACCTTATCAAATCAATTTGGCTCCAAAACACTCTGAAAGTTTTCGTGGTTTCTCTTCAAACCCATCTGTATTAATTGTAAGGACACATAAATTAGAATACGGTTGTCAACCTATTATGACAATATCTGGATCTTGTGCATCTGGGCCGTGTTTACATGGTGGAACTTGTGTAACTGGTTCAAAACAATCATCTAGCAGTTCATCTTATATATGCGATTGCCCTTCATTATTTCATGGGAGACATTGTGAACGAACTAATGATGCTTGTCTACTTGCACCATGTTACAATGGTGGAAGGTAAATCTTCACGTTAATCTGTTTAAAATTTAGTGTAATTCTCTACATTATAACGTACTACATTTGCACATCTGAAACGTCACATGATAAGAATTCTAAGTAGTGCTACATATCATTCATAACTCATTGAAAGTATCATTTGGTTAAAGAAATAAGTGGTATTTAATGTGTGTTTGCGATTGCATCGATAATGCAACTCTGCCAATTGACTCATTAGTTCTCATATCACAAACGTAAGACTAAAATGAAGTATTTTAAAAATAAATGGGAATGTAATCGTCCACATAGATTTCTCAAATATTGGAGATTGTTTTTTTTTTTTCAATGACCAATAATGTTTATTTTAGAAGCCAGCAGTAAATAACTGATCTACAGAAGATAACTAGCAAATTGACAAACATGACTTTTATATCATTCAGCAAAGTATGAAACGGTGCCCCTCACCCTATAATAATCCTTAACAATTAGATTGTATACTCTACCAAGAGTACAGTAGAGTAGCTTAGTAGCTATTGACGTTTATTTGACTGTGTATTAATCAATCCGTTAGCATAATGTTTAGAGAACTCTCTAAGAAGTGTTAAAGTTCACTATTACCGAAGGTTATGAATTTTACAGGTAATCACGAAGTATGACGGAAGCCAATAGCTTGGACGCAATCGGAAGTAGACTTATCCCCCGATAGTTGTTACAGGAACGACGTGAACCCTTTTTAAAGATAGGGACAGCTATCGACTCATTCCATGACGTTGGTACACTCTCTAGCTGTCAAACCTTTGTAAACAACGTCGTCAATTCCTTAGTCAGAAAGTCGCCACCATCTTTAAAAAGAGCCGGAGGTAATTCATCTGGGCTAGGTGATTTGTAGCGCTTCAAGAGTTGGAGTTCCTTGTGGACTTCCGCCTCATTTGGTGGATCAGTCGTCACCGGCCATGGAGGGCAGGACAGTCTGACCGATGTTGCCGGAGCAGCAAGCCGGTTGAACTGCCCTTCAAAAAATTCTGCCCATCGTCCAAGACGTCGATGGATGTTAGTGATTGGCGTTCCGTCATCCTCGCAGATTGTTTCGCTCACACCAGACTTCTTGCTGCCAGTGGCTCGGATGAGTTGGAAGAGCTTCCGGTAATTACCCGATGCAGCTGCTGCTTCCAGCTCATTAGCACGCTCCGACCACCAGGCTTCTCGGTCCTTACGCAAGCTTTGCCCTATTTCATTACGTAACATCCTTCGTTTGTGGTCAAACTCACGGTCACTCGGAGTAGACCGATGGGTTGGATGAGTTGTAAAGAGCCTGAAGAAACCCAGTGCTTATAAGCGGGACGTTTCGCGAACCCACAACTGACTGTACCCTCCATTTTCATGGCGTCATGCAATTGCACCCAATGCTCATCCATACTTTTCAGTGGAATGGTAGCTAGCCTAGCAGCTAGCTCGGTTCGATACTTACTTGCAACAGAAGTTACAACCAGCTTGCTAACATCAATCCGTTGGTGGCGGTCACTTTGGTGGCCACTGAAAAGTAAGGTAAGATTGGCGCAGACCAAAGCATGGTCAGAGTCCAGATAGGTACTCCAAAAGGAACGGCAGTCTTGTACACAACCACGCCAGCGGTAGCTGATCGCGATGTGATCAATCTGAGTCCAGGCTTGAGATGCAGAATGGGGACGCCAGGTTGCACATCGGCGACGACTGTGCCGACAGTTAGTGCTAGCCAGAAACAGGTTGTGGTCTGTGCACAGTTGCAGTAGATGGTCCCCGTTATCTGTCCTGCGACCAACGAGTCCCCATTGGCCACCTAAACGACTCTCTTCTGTGCCTAGACGCCCGACCTGAGCATTCAAGTCTCCGGCTAGTACTACAATATCTGTCGAACGCACTTTCTGGAGAAGAACAGATAACTGGCGGTAGAATTCATCCTTGATTGCATCCGGGCTGCAATCTGTCGGAGCATAGGCGGAGATGACGAAAAGACATCGTTTCTTACGCCGATTTCTTCTCACTTTGATGAAACTTTCTGATCTAACAGCACATGACCGACTGTTAATGGGGATCCAATCGATTAGTGCTGCCTCAGCTCTAGCGCTCAGTGCGACACCAATGCCAGCAAGACCAGACGAAGATGCCACAGGGTCCCCGGATAAGCGCACGTGAAATAAGCTTTTCGAAGCGACAGATGGAGAGCGGATTTGTAGTACTTCACCAGAGTCTTGAATACGAGTCTCGGAAGACAGCAGACATCGATATTAAGACTTTCCGAAGACATAGCCAGCCCTATCTGTTGTCCAACCTGCATAAGTATGCGAACGTTGAAGGCAGCCAGTTTGAATGGTGCACGTGGTTTCAGAAAAACTGCTTCAGTACTCATATTCGGTGGTAAAATACAATTTTCAACCGGACAGTGACTCGAGAACGTTTAGATACAGTCGAATTTCCACCAAAGACGAGCCGCTGTATAAGTATAAAAGAGGGTGAATAATGACGTAGTAAATAATAATAATAATAGTAATAATAATCATTTGATTGTTATTCGAAGCGAGAAAAATAGTTTCCATAGATATAGAGAGTTCATCATATTTGTGTGTGGGCTGCGATACTGCCCGGGTGCCCAGACCGAAGCAGGTGGTTTTCTGAGGGGGCCACACCCCGAGCTTTTGACCTAAAGTTCTAACACAGAAGGCAGTGGAGCATCGTGAGGAGATGCAGTCCCATGGTAGCCGGTGACCAAGGAATTGGTTCGTACGCCATTTGTTCCCTCAGGATACTGGAGCCCATGTGCACCATTGGTTTGGGGTCCGGTTAAAGCGCCGGACATTCGCTTTTCATCCTCTCATTTTTGTGAACAACACCCCCGCCACGAGAAGGCAATGAGTAGGACTTCCCTGGCAGAGGCTGTATACGCGTGGCCGTGTGAGAGTATTTTGAGAGGGAGAGTGGACTATCCCCACTCTCGGCCATACCAGGGCATTATGGGGCTATTATCCTTCTAGTTTTCGCTAACAATCGTGATCGAATCAGTTCATCTAAGTCGTTCTAATCCATTTTACTAGCTAAGACCAAAGTTGTTCAGATGCATACACGATATATTATTATAATTTTTCGTGTAATTTTTGTATTCTGTTGTATATATTTACAAACTTATTGACTTTCATAGATCATTTTATTTTATTTAATAATTTTTTGGGTTCAATTCTTAATTAACAATAAGCCTTAAAATATTTACTGAACACCTATTTTTCATATTTTATACAGTTGTCAAGCTCTTATAACATCAAGTATATCCAAAACACCTGCACATTCTGGTTTAGCTGCTTATCGTTGTATTTGTCCAGCTGGTTTATCTGGTTTACATTGTGAAATTGTACACCCGGAAATTATATCACAAACCTCATTGTTAAGTAAACCATTAGAGAAAAGTGGTTCAACAATTCAATCTGGTATTACTTGTCACACAGCACAATTAATTCTACAACAGGATATATTGAATAAAATACAACCGGGAACCAGTTCTAATTTTCGTTATGCCTTTTCGATACCTTCATCGAATATAAATCAAGATTCACGAGAATTGGTTTGTTTACATAATGGTTCGTGTTTGGATTCGTCTAGTGGTCCACAGTGTATTTGTCCTTCAGGTTGGCAAGGAGCACGTTGTGAATATGATGTTGATGAATGTCAAGTGGTGAAAAGTATCTATTCAAGTGATTTACATCAATCTGCACCCTATATCAAATGGTTAGAAAACCGCGCCAGTTCTAAAGGAGGTTTATGTAGTCCATACAGTTCTGGACGAGGTGTATGTTTTAACACTCCTGGTTCATATAAATGCAATTGTTCAGTCGGTTTTTCTGGTCAACATTGTCAATCAAAGGTAAGCTGTAAATTTTTTCAAACATTTCAACTTGGAGGTAAGATGCACCAAATTGAAGTTTATATGAATTTCAGTACTTCAATATCTTCTACAAAGCTATGATTCACGGATTGTTGCTCACAGTTGATTTATGACCAGCCAATATATAAAATATTACATTATATTGATCAGTATACAAAAAACTTAAGGTAACAAAATGAAGGAATGTCCCGTGAAAAGATTATGCTTTTTAGAATCAGATCAGTTCTGTACTGTAATGCATGTCTCATGTAATTTCCATCCACTGGAAACAATAGATAACTTTTTTCGCTGAAACTAAAGCCTACTTTTTTTTCTTGTAATCTGTTGCCTAGGTTAATTAGAAGAAATAACAGAATCACTTTTCCACTGCTGAATTTGTATACTTCTTCTGATGAGTATTGTTTTTCTCTTGTTTTTCTTTTTAAGAATTTGATCCCGTTAATTCCTGATACCACCGTTCTTGGACTTAATCAATTTCATATTTATATCACCGTTGGCCTTTTAGCATTTCTTTTTCTGGCTGCATTGGCTACAATAGTATTGTTGGCGTGTCGTGCTCGCGGTATGATTGGTGGAACATTGGATGGAAATCGACGATCTGTTAAATCAGTCAGTTCATATTGGCCTAATGGGGGGAATCAACAAACGAAACCTACATCTCGTTTATCAGACTCTCGATTAAATCATTTAAGTCATTCTGCTGGTGGGAGTTTATCTGGTATACCATTTGTTGCTGCTAGTCCAGCACACTTAAATCATGCTAGTCATATTGGTACACATCCTAGGTATCATATGATATCTACAAGTCATCGTCGTCCCTCTCTAGCCTCGACGACGTTCGGTTATCCAGTCGCAATGGATGAAAGTGCAACCGCTCTATTGAACGGCAACTCGGGACAAATGCCATTTTCTTCAGAATCCGTCAAACTTGGTGGAAATTGTAATGCCGGTGCCACGTTGGCAGACTTTGGGGATCGTGACGATTCTGTTTCTGCCTGTAATTCTGGATTAGTGCTGTATCCAACTGGCGTTAAAGATCAAATCCCAGTGATGATGATGCTTTCTCCTCTTCCTGGTGCACATGGATCAGTGGGCCCTGGTAACCGAGCTAGTGTAATTGCACGCTACTCACCTGCTTCTTCAGTTATCTTCTATGGGCCAGGTGTTCCCTCTGGTTCTGCAACGCCTACAAATCAGATCCATTCTCCTCAACCAGGTTTTTGTGTCGATTCGTCAGGTTCCGGCTATATTTCTCAACGTCAATGCTTCACTGGTTCTCAGGTAGCCGTGTATCCATCAGGACATCCTGCATTTTTACCTCATCCTCAGTCTCACCAACAGCTTATTCAAATGGTCAACATGCGTCCGAATTCTGTAGTAGGTTCTGATCGTTTATCTCTCGGTTCAGGTAGTGACCGATTTTCTGCTCATAGTAGTCAGGTTCTAGTGCAACCTAACAGTACTGGTCCTATGCCTTACCCGAATTGTCCTCAGTCTCAAGCTTTAACACCCCAGTTATACTACCATCAACCATCAACACCTCAAAACCAAACATGGACACCTCATTTATCAAATACAGGGCACAATCAACCTGGTTTGTTGATTATAAATCAAAATCATGATGATTCTAACTTGGAAGATGCATGTATGACACTAAAACCCCAAAATACTGACACTGTCAAAGCTGTTGATGTAAACAAACTCCAATCACCTATGAAAAGTCAGTCAACTTGTGATAACCAAACACCTGAACCAACCAGCAATAATAACCGGAAGGAACTCAACCAACGACCAGTTCCTGCCAGCATCCAGCATACTACAAGTGCATTTGTTTTACAAGGGCGACAATATTCTGGGAGACAACAAAATAATCATGGTAAGTATTGTTAATTTTTTTCTCTCGGTTTTTACACACATAAATGTATTGGTTTGATTTTTATCCTAATCAAGCTTTTTTTCCTTTCCTCTATTTCTAATTAAAGCTTTCAATTTATTGCATGCTCTATATCCATGTTGTCCTCAATCACACCCTATTTCCAATGCATGTTTTAATCAAAATTCAAATCATATTTTCGGAATAGCTGATCGAACAGGGTGCACAGGATATGCATTTAACAATTTTTATCCTTTTGGTATACACCAAGCAATTCCTGTCATTCAGAATACACCCATTTTACCATTCATGTTTTCGCGTCAGTCAGTCAATTTAGATTCGATGCCTGCTTATCCACCGATTCCAGAAAATGCATCGACTATTGAAAGGGACGTACTAAATTCGGAATCATTATTTCACCTTCCAGATTCATGCCCTGTTTTAAACGATGATAGTTCCCAACTGGAATCTATGCACTGGCCTTCCACTCAGAATAGTACCTTATTAATCCGTGACTCACTTGGTGGCTATCATCAATCATCATTTTCAGTGATACCAAATTCCAAAAGACCGACACTTATAGGTGCTTCATCACGTGGATTCCATCACCGCCCGACACTGGATAAAAGAATTATTGGTGTCGCTTCTCGTCGTACACGTCAACCTCGAGGAATTATGAAATTTAGCACAATCGAACTGCCTCCGCCAACATCTAGGCCACAATCAGCTCATTTACTTGGCTTGCATGTAACCTCGAAGTCAGGAAATGGATATATTACAAATCAAAAATCAGGTTTGTTTCAACAGCATCAGTGTGCCCTCCAAGCATCTCATTGTTATTTTGTGTGTATATGTGTGCTTAGATGTGCAATGTATTGCTTTTACCTATAGTGCTTGCTTTCTGTTGCTACAACTCTTTTTCAAAACTATCGCTTACTTAATTTTTTTCTCTTGAAGAAGCCCATTCTAATTCTGGAATACGAAATACTATTATTGTGGAGACAAATGGTTGTGTAAACGGTTCACGGGTAGTGGGTGATCCTAGTCCTTCTCCTACACATTTATCAAATAATTTTGCAAAGGTTGGATCCATTCATACTATATCAACTTCTGAACATGTTAATAATTCACAAAACAATAAAACTAACAAAGACGGTGGTGCTGCTCAAGATCAGATTCCAAACAATTTGGATTGGTTTGGTAATGGGTCAGGCTATCATCCACTTCTCTCAAGCAATATCTGCAATTCTTTAGAATTAAATGGAAATTACAAAGAATCTCAGATAAAAACCGTAAGATTTTATCTTAGTGTAGTCGATACATTATTATTATTATTATTATTATTATTATTATTATTATTATTATTATTATTATTATTATTATTATTATTATTATTATTATCTATTTGTGCATAGATATTTTGTTGTATTTTCTTTAGATGTTGATGAATTGCTATACCTTCATTTTCGTCACTTTTTTAAATAGAAATATTTTGATAATTTTATTTAATATATGTTTGCTCTGTTTAAAAAACCAGAGACTAGCAAAGTTTCTTACCAGTGCTTTTTATTGTCCGATCCCAAGCATGATTTCTTTAAACTGGTGAATAAGTCCTACTTGATTAGCATTCTTTTAACTTCGTTTCTTTCATTTTATAGTACTTTCTAAATAAATTGTTGTTCGGAACTGTTTACTATCATTCCACAATTGTTCTTATTTGTAGGTCGAACATTGTGTCACCAAGATTTTGAAATTTCTGTATCACTCCATCTCAGATATCAGGTTAAATACTGATAACTTTTTAAATTACTAGACTTAATGGGATCTGATTTATGAGACTATCCATTTATTTTTTAATGTGTTTAATAAATCTATAGACGTCTTCATATTCATAAAGTATCCCTATATGTACCATAATTAGTTCAGATTAGTATAAGACAGTCCGACTTCTGTTGTAGGTACGTTGATTTTATTTGCTACACTACCATCTATACTTATCACACCTAGTTACTGACTGTTTCAAACAGTTCACTACAGAGAGTGAATTCTGGCACAGACTGCAGATAAACTTGAGTAAGTGTTTTACTTTTCAATAGTACAGAGGATATACCATACGTGTTGACGCTTGTCGATTGTGTCGTTCTGATAGTCTATATATCATTACACAATAGGAGAATTTCATCAAGTTCTGAATATCTTTAACAGATCTACATTGTTGTCAGGATGTCATAGATGGCAAACTTAAAAGGAAGTGGTAAAATCGAAAAATCCTATCTAATATTACCACTGGTTAGAAAGAGTTTAAATATATGGTTATATAACCACATTCAACACAAGTTATTTTTGTACGGAGCATTGAAGAAATTAGTAAATATATTGGACACACCGTTCCTCACTAAACAATCGGCCTATAGTTTGTGCTAAAATATTAGTGTTTGAGTTTCTATGAATGATCGACTGTGGATCAATTTCAGATTATTTATAAATTATCAGAATGGGTTTTGTGGAGATTTTACAAATTTCACAGATTGAAATCATGAGTCAGTTGAAGCTAGACATTTAATATTATGGGCTTTCACTGACACTCCACCCCCACCCTCACAACTAGTATAATCTTAGAGTAGTTTGTCAACTATATATCTGAGATCTCTATCACCTACCAGATATTCTAATACATGCTTAGCTAAAAAAAGAGTAATAGAGATGCTTTTTAAGATAAATAAGACAGATTAGACAGTAGTTTTTTAATCTACATCAAAATTAATTGTATTGTTCACTTTATATTTTCTGCCCTAAATTCTTTTGTAATACATATGGTGTGTGTATGTAAGTAGACACTATTTGACGACCAGCATTATTTAATGTATATAATAATGATTAGTTTAGTGTCTACTATTTAAAATGTCCAATTTGTTAACGTACCGTTGTTAAAATGATCTAAAAGGTGTACCATATTTCTTTCTTGTTTTGTCTCTCGCTAATTATCGATTATTTTTGGTGTTTTTTTCTTGAAATTTCGCATTTATTACTAATGTTATAGTGATAATTATCATTATTATTTGTAAGCTACCAAACTAGTTTGTTTGTTTGTTGTTGTACATGGATAGTATTTATTCCTGAGAAAAAAAAGACTTACTGTTGTTTCTTTCTTTTAATTATTTTTCTTTTTTTTTTAAAGAATGAGACGTCAGATACAACAGCAACATCGGAAATCTCCAGAAAATCATTGACCAATGGTCAAACAACAATAATAATGCCAACGACAACAAAACAACAACTATCTTCGAATGTTGTAAATAATTTAATTCAAGATACAAAACATATGGCACACATAAATGATATGTAACAATTGATTTCTTCTCCATTTATTGCTCTTTTTAATCTATTTGCCTCTTTTTATGATATAATTATGTATTTTAAAAAATTCAACGAATAGGTTACTATATTCTGGTGTTTATTAAAATGTCTATCAATGAAATGAATAAACATTTCTCTTCTGCTGATGTCCTTGTGAACATACATGTTATCGTCTTTTATTCATAAATTCATCATATACCTGTACAAAATGTACGAAATAAGATTAGTAAAATGAATCGGTGATAAAGATTTGTGCTACCGGTGCTACTTTTTATTTATCAGGTGTGCACAAGTTAATGTGTCTCTCTGTGTGTTTTTTATGGAAGTGAACTTATGCATTTCTTGTTGATTCGCTCTTTCTTCCTCTCTCCATCTATCTATCTATCTTTCCAATGTAATCTACCTCGCTAATATATAAACTGATTTTCATGTTTTCTCTCGTTTATATGTTTTCTTCTTATCGTCCTTTTTCTCACTGCTGTTGTTATTATTGTTGCAATTTCTACGTGTGATTATTTTACTCGTTATCATCAACGATATATATATATATATATATATATATATAGCACAACATTTGTTTATAAATGTTAATCACAGTAATCTCATTCTTTTCTTTTCAATGATCTCAAAATAACAAGAATTTCTTTCTCTTTATATCAGCATACCGAAGATCATCACTATTTAGTCAGTTTATTGTATTATAGATTTTAATGTGAACAAGAGTTTCTTTTTAAACTGACTTATTACATTAAATAAATAAATCGATGTGATTTCTGATTCTCTCTCTTCATGTGTTTTCTTTTATTTCTCTTATCAAACTGTTATTAGTTATCGAATGTACTCATGCTACTTATTAATCATAATTACGGAATGTACAACCGGTTCATTGAAAATCTTTAAAGTTTCTTTTAAAAATCAATCCTCTACATCTGTTTGTCTGACTGATTATTCAAAACAAAGGAAAAAAGTTATTTTTTTCTTCTGTTGTATTTTGAGTTTGCTATTAACAGGTTTTAACTGTATTCATCTTCATTTTATTAAAATTGCTTATTTAGTAATTTACTTTTGAATTCATATCAATGCATAGATTTTGTATTTTGTTTTTATCCTCGTCTCTCCTCTCCTGTTTCACTCACTCACATAAACTCTTCTATGTACGTCTTCAAGGACTTAGTTTTATCTATGAACTTTTACCTTTCTCAATTTTTTTTACTACTCCTTAGTTTATTTGCTTGTTCATTAGTTTTCCCTTTTCAAATGGGACATCGTGATATCAATACTAAATCTGTGTTTTGTATGTGAATGTAAACATTAATTCTGAAAGTTTTAAATACTACTTTTATCAATTTTATGTGTCATTTATATACATTCATATTGTCAATCAGAATACTAGGTTCTATTATAACTTATTATTATTATTAATGCATAATTGTTGTTTTCTTTCTATTTATAGTAGGGTAAATACAATTCACATATAATTAGGAAAGATTTCATTTAAATGTGCAGTAATTTCAACAATATTTGTGAATATTGACCATAGATAGGTTATATTCTGACTGTTTAGAAATAGATTGATCACTGCACTAATCTACAAATCGACACTGTAAAGTTATGGGGATTGTTCGCTAATTTAGTTGAGTTTTCATTACGAACCGTTTTTTCATCCATCAGTATAAGAAAAGATTTTGGCTATAAGTTTATTTGTATACTTTGATTATTATTTTGGTCAGAGTGTTGGTGAAAATGTTGAATCCGTGATGTAAAATAAATCAGTATGGTACAATCTTTGGTTGATGTGAAATTCGTATCGGAAAGTAGCACTGTAGGATACCAGCTTCTGTTATTATTATGATAAATCCTTACGAATTTCAGTGATGAATACGTGTTGTATTGTCGAGAGAGTGAAAAGCATTATGATGGATAGATAATGGGAAGTCTTATGGATTAACAGCTGACTAAGAAATCTTTTGGTTAATAATAAATAATCTAGATATCAAACTGAACGGAACCTAAATAAGTCAAAGCCCATTAAAATCATTCAGAATTATTTTTGTCGTATAAAACTACTAATTCTACTGATCTCGTATTCTCTTTTCTCATTTCCCTTTATAACGAGAGATTAGCATCAATTAAGCCTTTTTTATTGCCGGTTTGTTTGTATATCGATGAGTAAATGATCGATTTTCTTGCCAAAAAACTCGTTAGCAAACTCGCTTAGTTTCAGCTTCCGAAGTTGCCTGAAATTTTAAAAATGTTCCTCATTTATCACTATAAAATTAATGGCACAAAATATGGAGCAATAAAATGAAATCATATCTGTTTAAAGCTGTAGGACGTAGGTATCCTCACTCTGAATTCGGCTGCTAAGTAAGACTACCCAGTATTACTTTCTACTGCCTAAAGATCTAAGTGCCCCCAAATGCCCTGGTACAGCCGAGAGTGGGGACAGTCCGCTCTCCCTCTCGGAACGCTCCCACATGGTCACGAGTGTATAGCCTCTGTCAGGGAAGTCCTACTCACTGCCTTCTCGTGGCGAGGGTGTTGTTCACGGACTTGAGAGGACGAAAAGCGAATGCTCGGAGATTTATCCTGGTTGGTGGACACGGTGAGTCAACCTAGGGGAGTTGGAAAACCCTGATTCCAAACCACTGATGCACATGGGCTCCAGTATCCTGAAGGAAAAAATGGCGTATGAATCAATCGTTGGTCACCAGCTAAGATGCGACTGCATCTCCCTTCAATGCTCTACTGCCTTGTGGATCAGACCTTCAGGTCGAAGGCTCGGGGTGTGGCCCCCTAAGAAAACCACCTGATTCGGTTTGGGAATCCGGGCAGTGTCACAGCCCTCACACATATCAAATGAGATTTTTGTGGCGCATATGTATTTGGTGCCTCCTTGTACCAATATCTATGTGTTCAATAATAATAGTAAAGATCTAAGTACTTCTGACCCACATACCAACAGGCAGTAGAAAACCAATGATCGAACAAGAGGACTTACAGAGCAATATAATTCACAGGATCCAGAGAAGACAACGAAACAAGAGTAACTGAGAAGCATTAAACTAGTGTGTGTGTATTATTGTTCAATCGATATGCAACCAATTAGTGTAAGCTTGGTGCGCACCTCATACTACAGAGAATAACGAAGTTCTGTCTGTTTTATCCCCGAATCGGAAGAGAGCTAGTGATTTGCTAGCGAATCTCTAAACTACTGACTTAATTTCCGTGCGATGAACTGAAGCTGGTATTAACAGGTCATTTCCATGATAGACCTTTTGAGACTCTAGAAACAGTGTTCTTCAGTAACGTTTTGGGATTAATAGTATATGTTTTTAACAGGGGTTATAAAAGGTTTTGTATTATGAATAAAGTTGGTATTGTTGTTTCTAGAACCCATGCATCATCGTCACCGACTGCTAAATGTGTTTCACTTAACTCTCGCTAAAACCATTATAACGATGACATCTAGACAACCAATCAGATTAAAAATGGTGTCTACATAATTGTGAATAAAATTCAAAGCATAGTGAAGGATATCATATGCCTTATTAAAAGTTATGTAAAACTTTTATATAATGAGCTTTTATAATACCTAAAAATGTGAAAAATAATTTGTGTGATTACATGGTGAATATAATACTATCCTAAAGTCAAATGACAAGTTCTACCGACGGAAATTGTACTTAAGATTACATTTTTCTGAACATAATCAAGTGTTTTCGCGATTAAATAGTATTCTAAAACTATTATCATATATTTTAGCTCTGACTCTTCTAACTCTTACACTCTTGTTTTAAACTCTTAACCTTAAGTCATGACTATGGCTTAGCTTCCAATCATTAATCCCGACGGTGATTGGTTTAACATGTTGAAACAGTTTTCCTATCATAGTTTTACTACCCTTGCTTCGTAATTGATCAGTGTTTTGATTGGCGGACTCACGGTGGCACAAGACAATAGCTAGCTTGGATTTGAAATTACCACATCTTAGTTTCAGAGAACCTGAGCTTCCTATTTACAAAAATAATATTATCGGCAGTCATGTATCTCAACCCTAAAAATTTAGGCATCTTTAAAGGCTAAAAGCTTCCTCACCAAACTAATGTTCTGTTTTATATTCATCAGTAAATCATAATCTTTGATAGTACTGTCCTACCATCTAGTGTAGTAATTTACCATGAAATCGTTTAAATGAACGTATACGCTATAAAAATAAAAGTTTGAATGTGATCACCGACTCCAGTGCTTATTTTTCGCAATTTCAACAACTACCATGATAACACAAAACTCCACGGTAACGCCTTGAACTAGCGTTTACTTCATGTCTTTACATTTGTCGCTACAAAGTAGTTTTGCCGCACCTTTCTTATTTTGAATGACACTTTCTTTTTCCATAACTTTTGGCCTACAAAGATACTTATCTAGTTTACTTTTGGGTTACTGATGTCAAAAACAGATATTGTGAGATTCTTTCTGAAAGTTTTGTGCATAGAAATCCCTCCACATACACACTGTTGTAGTCCATTTTTTGTTATTCATTCAGATGTATATTTTATTGCTCTTTTGATTCCCTTAGAGATGGTACTATTTGTATCTTATTTAAGTTTGTGCTTTTTTTACGTCTTCACTTGAGTTTCATGTTTTTCTTAAACTACATCTACATCGTTTTTGTCGATATTTGGTCATGGTGGCTGCCATATTGATTCACTTCCCTCCTTGAATTTGTTGCTTGTATTTAACTGGAATTGTTCATTTTCGATTGTGAATTGAATTGTAAACACTCAGAGTCATTGAATGATTAAGTACGATATTACGGAAATTCCGCACGTGATCTATCCAGAAAGGATAGAATAACTGATTGCATTGATAGGAATGTGCACTTGTTGCACATGGCAGTTGTCTTACATCGTCTACCAATTTATTTACTTTATGCAATTTAGATTTGACTTCTCTCTGAACAATTATTGGTTGAATAGACCGGTGTTAATCTTAGTTTAGGTAATAATATACACTTATAATGAAATTTGGAATCGTCATTTACTCAGTTGCCTTGTTTCGGTTTCAACTGGACGACAGAGCGGATCTTAGCTAACCTAAACAGTTATTCATCACACCAAACATTCTACTTGAAAGCTACAGTTCTAAACAAATATTTTGACATTTAACGAAATCATTTAACCATACCACCTTTTCCAGAGTTTCTCCGCAGAGTTTTTTTGGGCTGGTATTATCTGTGTTGTATTTTAGGGTCCTGCTTTTCCCCTCGTATATTTTGGGGCGTACTGATGTAGAGGCTGCCTCTACACTAGTTGTATTCATCTACATTTGTTCGTGTGTATAGGATAGAAGGACCAGGTCATCTGCGAAGTTGAAATCATCTGGTTGCATGCAAGCTGTTCATCGTATTCCGTGCCTTCCCTCAGATGTCGAGGTCTTCATAATCCAGTCAACTACCAGAAGAAAGATAAACGGGGAGAGTAAGCAGCTTCACCTGACTCAGATCCGCACTTGGAGACATGCAAACAAACAAAGACACTAAGCGTACTAAAGAATAGGATCTTC